AAGGACTTGTATGCATGCATATAAGCATAACCAATCGGTCATAAGACCCTGGGGAGTAGGGGAGGCCAGGGGATTTTCAAGGGCGGGGGGAAAAAAAGGGAAAAAAAAGGAGACATATGTAATACTCTTTGTAATAATTTAAGCAATAAAAAAAAATTTTAAAAAAATAAAAACTGAAATCTTGGATTATTCCCTCACTGTTCATCTCCCAACATGTTTCTCATCCCCAAACCATCTACCCAGTTGCTCCTGCTAGAAACCCAGAAGTCCTTTACTCTCACCACTCTATCCAATCAATCTCCAATCCTGTCCTTTTTGCCTCCAAAAGATAGCTTTTGTGTGCTCAGTTTCCCACCTCTACTGCCATCTTCCCCTCTCACCCCCACTCTCCAGACTAAGTCATTATCACCTACCACATCGCAATAGCATGCTAAGTGATCTTTCTGAATCTACTCATACTCCCTTCCAATTTCGCCTCCATACTTCAGCCAGAGTGATCTCCCAAAGGTGAAAATACTCCTACTTAAAACCCTTCAGTGGCTTCCTATTGGTTTTAGGACAATGTTCATAAGGCACCTATGTACCTCTCCAGACAACCTCATCTCATGTTATCATTCCCCTTGTTCTCCATAAGCACTAGCCCTACTCTTTTTCTATGTACATTACACATGCTAAGGTTTCTCCAGATGCAGGGTCTTTGCACATGTTGTGTCCTCTACCTGGAATATTTGTTTTGTTTTACTCTTCTTCTACCCACTGCTGTCCAAATCACAACACACACACACACACACACACACACACACACACACACACCCCAAAACCCCAGAGGCCACATGCAATAATCAAAGTAGACCAAAAGGAACTGACTGCCTAGTATCCCATAGTGTTAAAACATAACACTAAGGCAAAAAAATTATAGTAATAATAACAGCAAACCCTTATATAACTTTATACTAGGCACTCTTTTGGGATGATTTATATATTTAAATATACTCGATACAACAATCTGAAGTAGGTATTATTATAATCTTTTTTTAAGATAAAGTAACTAAGGTACAGAGAGGATAAGTAACTTCACGAAGGTCACAGGTATTCAGTGGCAATGCTAGGATTCAAATTGTCCTGTGTGAAGGCTTGGCTGTCCATAACTTGGACTATCCAAACCTCCCTTCCACATGAGGGATGTGGAATTGGTTTACATAATTATACTGCTATTTAGATAAGTACTAATTCTCCACTAGACTAAAAACATAAATGAGGATAGAGATCATTTATATCTTGTCCACTGATATGTCCCAATCTCCTGAATAATATCTAACACATAATTGATGCTCAAAGATATCTCTGAATATGTTATTTGAGAACGTATTGGGTTCCAATCATGCCTTATACTACTATCTATCAATTTTCTTTGTTAGCTGTCTGCTACCCATTTCTGCCAATCCTCGGTGTCCCCTCCTCCTGTCTACGTGGGGACCGTCTGTAAGGTATGGCGGCGGCCCAGTCTTCCCTCCATCCCCGCGGGGGAGAGCCTCGCAGCCTTTCCCTGCCCTCAGGCCTCACCTTCCACGTGGGGGAAGAGGCCACCCCAGCTTCCAGGCCAGCTCCAGATGGCTCTCCCTGTGCCCAGGGGCATGAACCCGGCCATACCCGCTGCAGAGGCCACTGTGCCGCGTCTCCGCCTGGCAGCCCGAGGCCCACCTGCTTTTTTCCCGCCTCCGCCATGTCCGGCCTCCTGGAACGCACAGCGTCTGCCAATCACGCAGCGATCAATCAGGAAGTGAAGTGGTTAGGGCCCGCCCTCCCCTCGAGCGCAAGCCAATGGGCGAGCCCTGAAGACTCCTGCTGGGGCTTTGGGGGGCGGGGCGAGGGGGGTTGTGGGTGTGGCTCTGGCCCTTGGGGGCTGGTCCTCTTGGAGGGCAAGGAGACGGTGACTTCCAACGTGAAGTGGGCCTGGGCCGCCATAAATGATAGTTGATTCGACCTTTGCAGCATTCAGGCCCGCCCCTTCCCTCAGGACACATTTCCGGAAATGGGCCAACGCCCTGTAATTGTACGCTGGACGCGGCGGCTCTCTCCGACTGCCGAAACCCGCGTGCTCTCCTTCCGCAGGCAATCTTTCAGATGATAACGGCCCTGTCCACCTCTAACCCACCACAACTCAGCCTCAAGTAGGGTCATTTCCTCACCATCCTGCAGCCCCCTAGATCTACTGCCTTCAGACCGCCAAGTTCTTTCCAAAAGAGAACTTTTGGATGGCATGCTGCCGTCAATAAAAGGTGTGTCTCAAACAGCAGGTCAACTAAATGGCAGGTCTGGGAGATTTGTAGTCGACATGGCACTTCTACATCTGTTATTTCTGGTGATGAAATAAAGAAGCAAAACAGATTATTTACCCTATTGAACAGATGGAGATAAAATAAGGCCCTGAGAGAAGAAGCAGTTTGTCCAAGGTTACACAGCCAGAGTAGAAGTGTAAACTCCACAATCTCTCCATGTATCCACTCCACTTGCAAATAATTTAGTCTGTCAAATCCAGTCTGTCAATCAGAAGCAATGTATACCGAAAGTGGGGGCTATATTAACCATACTCATAAAATAAAGTTATAATGCAAACATTTTTTAAAACTACACATGTCAAAGGATATTAAATGCACAGACAATGGTCAGAGAGGTGGTATTTACTCTACACAGCACTGATTAAATATGTACAGTGTGTAGCTATGCTAGTCCCCCATAGTGGTTATGGAAATGGGTAAGGCATGCGTCTAGTCTTTTAGAACCTTGGGATCTAATTAGGAAGGCAGAGCGAGATTCATGATACCTGACACTGGCATGTGAAAAGTATACACCATGTGCTCAAAGGATTCAGATGAAGTAAACAACTATGAATGGGAATGGCAGTGACATTTCAGGCCTGACTTGAAGGGTGACAAAAAGTTTCCCAAGGGAAGATGGAAAAAACTGGTTTTCCATATCAAGAGTAAGTTGAGAAGCAAAAATTGCAGGGATGAGGATAGTGACATACAGCCAGAAGGCAAGGTTTAGGGGAGATGAGGCCACAAAGTTGAACTGGGCAGAAGAGCACTGAACAGCAGCTAAGAAGAGTGAACTTTGTAGGTGGTGAGGGGCAGTGACTATCATAATGGTTGTCCAGGCAGGTTAATCTTTCAGGGATATATAGAATAAATTGATCCTGAAATTTATTTATCCAAGGCAAGGGATATTTGTCACTTATCTTTCCATTAGTCCAGTAGAGCTTGAAGGGGTCAGATTTCAGAAACTGCTGAAGGTCCTTACATGACACAGCAGTAGTGCGTTTAATATAGTAGTAAATGGTCAGAAACTTGGTTTCAAGCCCAGTTCCACCACTTGCCAGCTGTGTGACCTTGGGGAAATCACTTAACCTCTCTGTAAAATAGGATTAGTAAATACATACCTACAGGGTCATAGGGAGGTTAAAATAAAATCATTTGTGGGGAAATACTTGGTAAGTTACAAAGCAGCACACATGTTGGTACTTTCCTTTTGCAGGGTTAAAATTACTTCCTGTGGCTCCCTACAGGCAGAAGGATGGAAATGGGAGTCTGACATTTGGTCTCAGAGGCTCTCACCTTCCATGTTGTCAGACACCCTTCACAAAAGCAGATGGTGCTCACAGTTGGGAGCCTATCAGTGCCCAAGGACACCTAGGGCATTGCTGGGTTCCCACCTTCAAGCTCCCATCCTAGACAATACACCTGTGCTCAAGCTTCTGGGGCAACCAGCATTTGCCAAGAACAGACCATGTCTGCAAAGAGAGATAGAAAGTCACAGTTTATAACAGAGGCTCTTTAAAAACCTATGATATTAACAAATGTGACTTGAGCATTCAAGAGGTCCTACAAACTGTACTAGGTGCTGGGGATATAGTAGAGAATAAAGCATATGTGGCTTCTAACCTTCTGAAGCTTATAATCTAGTTGAAAGGCAGAAAATGAAGCAAATTACTTCATATTTTAATGGCTGTTGTGTTTTCTTTTTTTAAAAAACAAATCTGCAATATATATATTAGGGTATAATTTTATACAATAAAAAAACACAGATCTTACATGTTCAATTAGGTGAGATTTGACATCTATATACACTCATGGAACCACCATCCCAAACGAGATACAGAATATTTTTTAAAAGCTCCAAATTCCCTTAGGAGTTCCTCCTTCCAGTCAATTTCCAACTCCCACGGGCAATCACTGATCTGATTTTTTTTTAAATTGTTTTATTGCTTAAAGTATTACAAAGAGTATTACATATGTCTCCTTTTTTTCCCACCCTTAACAATCCTCCGGCCTCCCCTAACCCCCAATGTCTTATGTCCACTGGTTATGCTTATATGCATGCATACAAGTCCTTTGGTTGATCTCTTACCACCACACCTCCTGCCCCTCAACCCTCCCCAGCTTTCCTACTGTAGTTTGTCACTCTGTTCGAGGCAGCTCTGCCTCTGTATCTATTTCTGTTCATAAGTTTATAATGGTCTTTATTATCCATGAGTGAGTGAGATCATGTGGTGTTTTTCCTTCATTGACTGGCTTATTTCACTTAGCATAATGCTCTCCAGTTCCATCCATGCCGTTGCAAATGGTAAGAGTTCCTTCTTTTTTACAGCAGCATAGTATTCCATCGTGTAGATGTACCACAGTTTTCTAATCCATTCATCTACTGATGGGCACTTAGGCTGTTTCCAGATCGTAGCTATGGTGAATTGTGCTGCTATGAACATAGGGGTGCATATATCCTTTCTGATTGGTGTTTCTGGTTTCTTGGGATATATTCCTAGAAGTGGTATTACTGGGTCAAATGGCAGTTCCATTTTTTAATTTTTGAGGAAACTCCATACTGTCTTCCATAGTGGCTGCACCAGTCTGCATTCCCACCAGCAGTGCACAAGTGTTCCTTTTTCTCCACATCCTCTCCAGCACTTGTTGTTTGTTGATTTGTTGATGATAGCCATTCTGACAGGTGTGAGATGGTACCTCATTGTTGTTTTGATTTGCATCTCTCGGGTGACTAGTGACTTTGAGCATGTTTTCATATGTCTCTTGACTTTCTGAATGTCCTCTTTTGAAAGGTGTCTATTTAGGTCCTTTGCCCATTTTTTGATTGGATTGTTTATCTTCCTTTTGTTAAGTTGTATGAGTTCCCCATAAATTTTGGAGATTAAGCCCTTATCAGATATGACGTTGGCAAATATGTTTTCCCAAGAGGTGGGTTTTCTTGTTGTTTTGTTGATGGTTTCTTTTGCTGTGCAGAAGCTTTTTATTTTGATGTAGTCCCATTTGTTTATTTTATCTTTAGTTTCAACTGCCCTAGGAGCTGTATCAGTGAAGAAATTGTTTTGGCATAAGTCTGAGATTTTGTTGCCTTTGTATTCTTCTAGAATTTTTATGGTTTCCTGTCGTACATTTAAGTCCTTTATCCATTTTGAGTTTATTCTTGTGTATGGTGTAAGTTGGTGGTCTAGTTTCATTTTCTTGCATGTATCCGTCCAATTTTCCCAACACCATTTATTGAAGAGACTATCTTGACTCCATTGTGTGTTCTTGCCTCCTTTGTCAAATATTAATTGAGCATATTGGTTCGGGCCGATTTCTGGGCTCTCTATTCTATTCCATTGATCTATATGTCTGTTCTTGTGCCAGTACCAGGCAGTTTTGAGAACAGTGGCTTTGTAATACAGCTTGATATCTGGTATTGAGATCCCACCTACTTTGTTCTTTCTCAGGATCGCTGCAGCTATTCGGGGTCTTTTTTTATTCCAGATGAATTTTTGGAGAGTTCGTTCTAGATCTGTGAAGTATGCCGTTGGTATTTTAATGGGAAGTGCGTTGAATTTATAGATTGCTTTGGGTAGTATGGACATTTTAATGATGTTGATTCTACCAATCCAAGAACATGGTATGTTCTTCCATCTCTTTATGTCTTCCTCTATCTCTTTTTTCAACGTCCTGTAGTTTTCTGAGTAGAAGTCTTTTACCTCCTTAGTTAAGTTTATTCCTAGGTAGCTAAATTTTTTTGGTGCGATGGTAAATGGGATTGTTTTTCTAATCTCTCTTTCTGCAAGTTCACTATTGGTGTATAGAAATGCCTCAGATTTCTTGGCATTAATTTTGTATCCTGCTACTTTGCCAAATTCATGTATTAAGTCTAGTAGTTTTTTGACGGAGTCTCTAGGGTTTTGTATGTATAATATCATGTCATCTGCAAATAAGGACAGTTTTACTTCTTCTTTTCCAATTTGGATGCCTTTTATTGCTTCTTCTTGTCTAATTGCAATGGCTAATACTTTCAGTACTATGTCCAACAGGAATGGTGAGAGTGGGCATCCCTGTCTTGTTCCTGTTCTTAGGGGAAATGGTGTTAGTTTTTGGCCATTGAGTATGATGTTGGCTGTGGGTTTGTCATATATGGCTTTTATTATGTTGAGGTATGATCCTTCTATTCCCACCTTGCTGAGAGTTTTTATCAAAAATGGGTGTTGGATTTTGTCAAATGCTTTTTCTGCATCAATTGATATGACCATGTGGTTTTTTTCTTTCAATTTGTTTATGTGATGTATCACGTTTATTGATTTGCGTATATTGTACCATCCTTGCATCCCTGGGATAAATCCTACTTGGTCATGGTGTATGATCTTTCTGATGTACTGCTGGATCCGATTTGCTAAGATTTTGTTGAGGATTTTG